TTTCCCACTCTCAGCCTTTGTCTCTTATGCTCTGCCTACTTTAAAAAAAAGTGAAAGAAAGGGAAATCAAGAAAAGGGAAATACAGTAATTCATTAAGCAAAAAAGAAAAGGAAATTCTTAGACAATTAAAACTTAATTATGTCAATGTTTCAAAAGAGTCCTGTAAAAATAGTAAAAAAGAAAGAAAAGTGCAAAGAGCCAGTCCAATTTAAAAAGTGGATTTCAATGAAAGTCCAATCAGGCTTCCGGTAGTAAAAAGGGGGAAAAAGGAAATGTTCAATTGACCATGCCTTAAGTCCACTGCTTACTCTCTTATCAGTCTTTATTTTAAAATAGATTTCCAAATTTAGGGTGTTCTCTCGCCAATAAAAAAGATTTAAAACTCTCACCAAAACGACATGCTTCTCACCTGCCCTTACGTTATGGAGCTGTCAGCCGTTCCAGCAGCCTAATGGCTGACTCGTGGTCACCGGCAAGAGGGGCTTTTTCCTGGATCACCAGAGATTTGCGGATGTCTCTGGGATCAACAGGATATGCCCCCCCCCTTTCACCGTCTCTTCGGGCCAGTTTAGGTTGGGATTGGACCGTACTGCGACCCGAATTCGGCGGTGATCCCAGAGCCCTGGGAAAGTCCATCGTTTCACAGTGACATCTAGCCCCTCCTCCAACGATAGAATTCTTGTACCTTGCCTTCTTGCAGGCAGCCACTATGCGTGTATCAGAGTGAATTCACAGTGGAACAGCTGGCTCAGGGACAGCCTAACAGGTTCCCTATTACTCCAACACCCTCTATTCACTCTGTTGTCTTATATTTGCAAGGTAACCTGGTTAGTCTGCAGACTGTAGTTATATTGGTCATCTCTTAGGCCTTTGCCTGATTGTTTTCTTTATGAGTGTTCACATTTTTGGAACGAAGACAAGGCCCTTCTCTAGTTTCATTTTCTGAATTAGCTATCCCATATCTATCTGTGGTTGTCCTCCCAAGTCTTTCTGCAGTATTTGGGTGGCTCCTAACAAACTTTGCAAAAGATTCTTTCAGGCAGTCAAACTTATTTATGACAGTTGATAAAAGTTCATAGATTTGAGTTTAGAGTTTGATCTGTAAGCAAACATTGTCTACAGAGGAAATATGTCCCATTTCCCCCCTTTACATTTATTACATCTACCTCCTGTGCAAGGAAGGCTGTTGCTGAGTTCCAAGGAGGGGAACCATTCTCTGAGAGGGAGGAGGGCAGTTCTACATGCTGTTTGCTTTCAAGTTCAGTTTACATTTATTTGATAAGGCAACTGCAGATGAGTTACTTACTGGAACAGACTGCCTGTTTGCAGTATAATCTTCCATTTTCTGCTGCTTCAATGACTTGGATGAACTCTCTGCTGCAGAGTGCTGTCTCTGGCTTGTAGTATTGTTAAAATGTATCTAAAACAAATGGTTTTAGAATATCGTGCAAAAGTTCATTTATTTCAGTAATGCAAGGTGAAACTAATATATGAGATAAGACTCATTACATGCAAAGCAAGATAGTTCAAGCCGTGATTTGTCATAATTGTGATGATTATGGCATACAGCTCATGAAAACACCAAATCCACCATCTCTGAAAATTAGAATATTACATGCAATCAATAAAACAAGGATTGTACATAGAACAATATTGGACCTCTGAAAAGTATAAGCATGCCTATGTACTCAGTACTTGGTTTGGGCCCCTTTTGCAGCAATTACTGCCTCAATGCGGCGTTGCATGGAAGCTATCAGCCTGTGGCACTGCTGAGGTGTTATGGAAGACCAGGATGCTTCAATAGCGGCCTTCAGCTCTTCTGCATTGTTCGGTCTCATGTCTCTCATCTTTCTCTTGGCAATGCCCCATAGATTCTCTATGGGGTTCAGGTCAGACGAGTTTGCTGGCCAATCAAGCACAGTAATCCCACGGTCATTGAACCAGTTTTTTTCGTATTTTCGGGGAAACACGGTAGGTAGGTAGGTAGAATAGCCCCACAGTGAGATAGGCAACAAATAAATTTAAGAAATAAATATTGTTAGGACAGTAAAGATCTGAAACTGAGGTAGGGATGCTGGCAATTAGCTCTTAGAAATTACTGTTCACATGAGCCTCTTGCAACTATAGATTGGATGTATACCTTTTTATAGGGCAATAGTATTTATCTAGTAAAAGCACTGATCCTCCGGACAGGAAGTTCTCCAGCTGGACAGACGTGGGGGGTGTGGGCTCTTAAGAGTCTCATATGAACCCTGTCTGACAAACCATCTCCGAAGATCCTTTTGGATGAGAACCCCCACTGGAGGCGGGGGTGAAGAAGGGCAGCATCTCATCAGACCCTGAGGGAAGCAACAGATCCCTTGCAGGTCAGAGATTTGCCTATGAATCGGAGTCAGGGCAGCAGCCTTTAACATGGCTAACAAGATGCTGGCTTTTTGTCAAAAGAAATGGAACAGGAGGGGAGTGGAAGAGATGAAAGACCAGGTAAGAAAATTTATCTAACCAACAACTATAAATTAAACCTGGAAAAGGCAAAGAAATCTTGAGAACATAAATAATATTGATGGTCAGATCGGGACTTACTTTCTCCAACAGAAAAGGAAGAAAGGAAGGTGGAGGGTTGTAACACACACACACACAGCTCTTTGTTTGAAATGCTTTCGGACAGAAAGATAGAAAGCAGAGAAGTGACAAACCCATGCAATTATAAACTCTATATTTGGTTTTGGATCTTAAATAGAAACCAATACCCCGAAGGGTTTACTTTTACTTTGTTTGAATTCCTTCCAGCTAATATAACCAAGAAAAAAGCACGTCTTCATACTGATAATGGATAACTTAACCTTCACTGTTCGGGAAGTTTTAATTAACCAACTGCCATAAATCAGAATTTGGAGCAAAGAGAAACTTCTGGCTGATTATAAGCTTGCTACAAGTGATTTCTTTTGAGCAGTTATTAAAGGAAAGAATAAACATCGGAGTCAAGACCTGGGAAATACGGAGGGTTTTTTTTTCCTTCTCCTTTCTCTTCTTTTTTTTCTCTCTTCTGCAAAAGATTAAGATGGTGTCAGCTTGCTGGAGGAGGTCGTGATGAGACGACGTGCGATCTCAATGCTCTGAGATCGCCGTCGATACTTTTGCTGCTGGGTGGACCTAAACCGTCCCGCAGAGATGGTGAACAGGAAGAATACGTCTTGCTGATCTCAGGGACATCGCAAAGTCCCTGATCGACCCAAGAGAAGTTCTTCAANATTTGGCAATTAAAAATGATACATATTTAAACTTGACTAGAAGGTTCTTGTCTAGGGAGAGATCCCAAATAATGAGGCTGAACTACAATGCACTGCTTATGGCAGGTAAAGCAGCATTTACAGATGCTTGATTTTTACTGAGTACAGTGGATTAATGTTAGTAATTAACTTTGTCAGTAATTACTTTCCTGCAATTAGATTTACACTTAAAATGGGCTGAAAAAAACATATAATTCTGATAAACTATTATCTTACAACCAAATCATCCATAGAAGTCATTTGCTTCAATTTATTTGCAGATATTAAATTAAGAAGAAATTAAATAGTAAATGGGAACTTGGTATAAAATGCATTGTTTAAGAAGGCCAAAAGTTCTTGATGGTTTCCCTATATAAATTTGGGAATAATAGTTTGGAAATCACATTGATGATCAACAACTGGAAACCCTGCCTGATAGAGATGGTTATTTGGTCAATTCAGAGTTGCAGCTAAAGAACTGGGAAAGGATTTTCATATTTTCCTCTGCTCCTGAAATCCTGAGAAAATCGTTCCTTTGAAGCTAATTCTGAATTAAGAGGAAGAAATTTTGGTAGTTCCTCTCCAAAGCAAATAGCAACTTCACCTATGTGAGGTGAACTCCCAAAATTTCTTCCTCTTAATTCAGAATTATCTTCAAAGGAAGATTATATTAGCTAATCTGCAATTTGTTTTAAGAAAACAAAACAAACAATTCCACATATATTTTACACATTAATATCTCTGCAAAGACATAGTAGTTTTTCAGTCCTCTCAAATGAAGAGTCTTTGATGTAATCATACCCTCTGTTCAGCAAACTAAGAAAATCATTAATTGTACTAATATTTAGCTGTCTAGAACTATTTTGGGTCTTCAATGGCCATCCCAACTTCTTATCTTCAAGAAGAAGGAATCCTTTCCCCTCTAATTCACTTAGGCAGGCTGGCTTCATGTACCTGAATATTATATATTAGTTGACTTAGTCAATTAAAGTACTGAACACAACAAATCATTAAAGGTAAAAGTAGAGGTTCCCCTCACACATATGTGCTAGTCGTTCTCGACTCAAGGGGGTGGTGCTCATCTCCGTTTCAAAGCCGAAGAGCCAGCACTGTCCAAAGATTTCTTCCTGGTCATGTAGTCCGCATGACTAAATGCCGAAGGTGCACAGAACACTGTTACCTTCCCACCAAAGGTGGTCCCTATTTTTCTACTTGCATTTTTATGTGCTTTCGAATTGCTAGGTTGGCAGAAGCTGGGTCAAGTAACAGGAGGTCACTTCGTTAAGCGGTGCTAGGGATTCGAACCACCGAATTGCCAACCTTTCTGATGAACAAACTCAGTGTCTTAGCCATTAAGCCACCGTTTCCACTTTACTTCAGTCTTTCAGTATTACTATTCTGTTAAAGTGCTGGACCAGGAGTAGTGAAACACTGATTTTAGTGCTTCCTTACATGTGGAAGCTGGATGGACCAATCACTCTTCCTTTTCAGTAAACCAGAAAGTTGAAACAGTTGTTTCTAGCAACCCACACAGATCCAGAATTTTGATTATGAGCCATAACCTTCACACCTTCATCTTTCAATGAATTGATTTGACTGATAGTAATAATACTTTATCATTCATGTTTTACAAAATACATACTGTAAGTGGTGAGAAAATAGTAGGTCATATTTCAGAAGCATTTCATTTTTTGAATATTCTAAAACAAATATTAATGAAAGCTACATACCAGTTGTGTATACTCTACATCATCTCCCAACAAACCAGTGTCATTCAGTGTGTATTTGGCTTTCATTTGCACAGCATCTACTGGTCCTTTCTCTACTTGATGTTTGATAGCTTTGAACAATTTATAAAGAGGTTCCCCAGCATTATCCTGATAAAGTTGATGAAAGAGAGAAAAAAGGTGACTCTACTTTGTGATGGACAATTAGCATCCCATCACATTGTTAAATATTAAAAAAAAACTTCTTAAGATAATTATTTCTGCAGAATATTTTCCCATTGAATTTAAACTACCATTTGTAACTGCTTTCAGATCAAGACTACTGTTGTATTTTTGGTTATTCTTATTTGGCGTATACTCGGAAGAAGGCACAATCAACTAAAACTTAAAATCAGTCTACAGCTTGATATGATATTCAAAATAAATGTATAGTGAATGCATTTTGGATCTTACCTTGAGGTACTGATACAGGCAAATGGACATCCAATTAGAAAGCATTCTTTCCACAACGGTTTCAGATCTAAAATTTAAAAAAAACCACACCTTGTGTTGAGGTACATGACTAGGAATTGTAGATGAGTATGTCAAGAACTAAACATGCATTATATGTTTCTCCCATTTCTCCATATCCAATGCATGCAAACTAATGGCTTTGGAAAATATGAGGGCAAATCCTTCAAAAGAGAATTTGGCTTTGAAAGCTGATCCTATTTTGCTGATGAAGCATCTGTGGATGATCTAGACAGCTTTTGAAGCAGTTGTCAATTCCTCTAGTTAAACCAGATCAGGAAATCAATTCCACAAGAAGACTAAAACTATTTCTATTGAGATGGACTACTGTAACACAAACATGTAAATCTGATTGTGCTGTATTTCCTCCTCTTCCTTATTACTTCATTGAACTATGGAGATCAGTGTTAGTCACTTCCAAATATTATCTGGCTGTTCTGGGCTTTAAAAATGCTTCTGCCCCCTTTGCCCAGACAATAGTTCCATAATATCTCCATCAAAATTATATTCTTTATAGCAGTTATGTGAATTTGGAAAAAAGGACATGGCTGCTTTAATGATTAGAAAAGAGAAGCTTCATGTGTGCTCTTGCATTCTTCAAAATCCCTCCCTTGAAAATATTTCTGTAGCTCTCAAAAACAAGTCATTCTGCTCTGTGTTGCTGTTGCAGTGAAACAGGATTAGTAATGTCCAGAGCTAGAAAGTTTAGGCTGAAATTCCCACTTCTTCCTTGGTGACTTTAGACCAGTCACTTTCTCTTGTTTAACCTTTCTCTCAAGGTCACTGTGAGGATAACATGGGAGAAGAACCGTATATATGTGAGCTTCTCCTGAGGCAGTGCAGGGCAAAAATCAATAATAATAATAATACAGTAAAAAACATGATCTCAGTGAAGAATGTGCTGACTTTCCTGCTGTCATACAATATAGGAGCTACCCTTGTTGAGAGCTGTGGGTAATGCTAAAACTGTCAGTAAGATAAACTTGCTGTCATGAGTCTTCCTCTCAAATAATTATATCAGAAAACAGATTCTAGAAAAAAAAATCCTCAGGTACAGCAGTGAATTAAGTGCAGACTAAGATGGTTACTTCTCATTATTGGCATGAACAAATATTCTAATTTCAAAATTAAGTAAAGTTGCATCCTGTACTATGGAGACCAAAAGCACCACAAGCAAAACATGAGAGAGAGAGAGAGAGAGAGAGAAGGGGAGGAGGGAGGGAGGGAGGGAGGAGAGGAGGAGAAAGAGAGAGAACATCATATTCTGGAACAGCGAATTCACAAGAAAATAGAAAGAAAAATGCTGAACTTAATAGGAAACAGGACACAACTCCTTAACCAAACAGGTGAGAAACATGGTAGACCTCACATAACAAATAAATAATATAAAACTAAATAAACTATATATACCTGTTCAATATGGCATATTTTTTAAAAATACAAGACTCCATAATATGGCCAAACCAGAGGCTTTACTTTCATAACCAAATGTTGCTATTCTTTAAATTCTAATCAATGATGAATGGTCAGATTTTTGCAGTTGTCTCAAGCTGACAACTTGGTTGCTTATTTGGAAAGTCAGAAATCTTTTTTTTAGCAGTGCTTTCCTGTGGCTCCCAAGCTAGCTAGCTGCACTCAGATGAAATGGTGGGTGCATCTCATCATCACCACCAGAACAAGACAACTGGTTATTTGGCTTCTCCATGAGAGGTGTGAAGTGGGCGGGAAAGCAGGCTGTTAATCTTATCTCGGACAACAAAAATATATTGGACCCACCTAGTTGTAATATATTAAAGCAAGCCCTTGCATTTCTTGGATTGCACAGTGTATTCATTCAGGTATGTAAAGATTAAAAGAAAACCAAAGAAATTAGAATTTTAAAGGGGCAACTTTTATTGTACTAGATTACTGAAGAAACCTTCCCTACCTTCGGAGCATCAGTTTAGGATTTTTGGCCACAACATACTGCTCCATAAGTTCCAAAAACAATGTCCTCATGATGTCAGTATAGTATTCTAGCTTCCCATGCAAAGCCACGGTCAAAAGAGATGCAAAATATACTTTTGCACGGGCAGAAAATTCCTTTTGCTTTTCCAACGTGTGAATGAACTAAACAGAAACAACAACAACAAAAACAGATATATGAATGAAACAGTTGAGGCTTATTCTTTTTTTATTGCGCTTTCTGGAAACATACTATAATGAGGTAAAAATTGGGATACAAATACATTCCAGAAGAATTTAATATAGTTTTTGTGGTTCTGGCCAGATAAAATGAGGACTTTGTTTAATATACCTCTTTTGTATTCACTTTATCATTTGCAACAATTTCGTGCACATATTCAGGACTGTTTATGCTTTAATTTTGGTTAATTTGATCCCTGGCACATATTAAACAGGGTGCCAACAAGGCAGGTCAGCAACATCAAAATAACAGGGACAACTGAAGTCTTGTCTGATATTTCTTTAAAAAGGGTGGGGAGGCTTCATTTGACAGTTGCTTCCACCAGGTTGCTGCTGTTGACCTTTCACAGATACCCCTGAATATGTACGAAAAGCGTGGGATCTAATTGCATTTCATGGTTGGCATAACTATATAATGAATGTAATGGGTACTGGCTAATAGTATTTCTGGTGAATACCATTCTTCCACAGATGACAGGTACAGGAACAAAATTATGTAAGATGCTATTATACATCACATACACAGCTTTACAAGATGTTCAGGACACAAAATATGCAGATTAATTTATTATTATAATAAACAGATGTATCAAATGAAAAAGCTTTTTAGCGACATAAAAGTTGACCTTTATTTTCCACTCACGTTAATAAGGAATGATTTACTGTTGAGCAGATTGGAGAACTGATTCAATGCCTGTTCTATGGTTGGCCGTCTGGCTTCAGGAATGTCCAGTTTTCCAGTGATCATTACATCTTTTTCCCCGTCTTTAGAGGGCAGAAAGAAAACTCTGTCTGTGTAGGTTTTGTAGTCAAGCACAGGAATTCTTGCTTCATTGATATCGTTTGTCTGATCCTCCATTTCTATCATTAAATCTATGCAACAGGAAACAATTTTCAAGCTTTAGTAGAAAATAATATTATTGATTCGATTATTGCTACCCTGAGCAAAATATTAAAATGCTTTAATTGGAAATTCTCTTAACGTATTACAATATTTACACCCAACCAGTAAATAGCAGTTTTGGTTTTAAACACATTTGTGAATGTCTGATTTAGATTACAATTACTTTTGAATAAACATTGTCACCATTCTAATCAGAGAATGAAATCACTGGAAGAGAAAACTCTCTTTGTTTAGTAGCTCTAGTTGTTTTTCTTGGTGACACTTTGGAGGCCTATCCTGGGGCTGCATTACAAAAATAATGTGTAGGGCAAGGACAAAAACTGATTTCACCTCACTGATATGTAAATTTAATTGAAATTAAATGTGGCTAATTTGATTAATCTCTAGTTCATGTATTTAATAATTTTCACCATCTGTCACATGAAAATTATAATTTGGTGTGAACCTTTAATGTTATCTGAAGGCTGTAAACAAGATTTTTCTGCAGGGGAGAGAGGACAAAGAGATGGAGGGTGTACAGCTCTGCATTCACACTCACATAGCCCACTGAGACTAGGATATTTTTGTGTTAATTAGATCAGAATGAATCCAAATCTCCCAGGTCATATTCTCTATCCACAAAGTGGAACTGGTTCTTAATTACAATCTACTAACAAAAGGTCCTTGAACTTTTATTTTTCTATAGGAAGGCAATGTCTCATCTTGCTGTTGCAGTCCGACTTAGTTCTATTATGTCCCCAAAGAGAAAGGCAGTGAGGAATTGTTGCTCCCTCCGACTTTCTCTTGCTATGGCTTTGGAGATGGGATTGAAAGAGGAATGGAACATACTAGTAGCACTGTCCTTTTTTCAGTATAATCTTTAATTGCTTTCAAAACATTGCTCACAAGTGGTGAAAAGTGAGGGCATCCATCATCAGGGACATTGAGCTGACCCACTTCTACAACCCATAACAGTGTGACAACAAAAACCAAGCATGCTTGTCCTCAGTCTTGCTTTGGGATAGGGACAAACCACTCAATATGTTAGATACGTAGCTATTTTTCATTAAAAAGCAAAACAATATAATATGTGCATGAATGCCAACCTGAAATGGAAATTACCATAGCAGTATGGGAATTTAATCTCCCCCACCCTTTTGTTTGGGAAATATATAAAAACCTTCTTTTGTGTGCATTGTTGTTATTTCTTCCCTTTGGAAAAAAAAACGTAATTGGCACCAATTAAATGTTAAAGGAGTATATATTCAATAGATGAATTTTCTAAAACAGTCCTTGGGGGAGAAGGATTAAATTTCCTTCAAATGGATTGTAAATCTCAGAATAGATCTACCATTAAATGAACTAACAAAAAAAGAAAAGAAAAAGCAGTTTCCACGTTACATTGTAAATATATTGAACTATTTTTTTAATGGATAACTTCTTTCAACTTGTGTTAGAGTATAATAGAATGTGAGAAATGGGTGCTGGGGAAAATAATAATATTGTTTTAAAACCATTTTTATTATTCATTTGATTCTTATTCCTGCCTTTTGGTACTTTATAAGTAACTCAAGGCAGTGAACATACCTGATACCAGGGGTGGGTTGCTAATCCCGTTCCAACCGGTTCGGTTGGAATGGGGCTGGCGGCGTCCTCGTGCACGTGCGCAGTTCACGCATGCGTCTTAGCGCCTGCGCGGTGCTCCAGCTGCTCGCGGAGACTCGCGCATGGCGCTGTATGTGCCATGCGCCTGCGTGGAAGCGCAGAAGCCTTCAAAGACCGGTCCCGGAAGTTACTTACTTCCGGGTTCGCCGACCAACCGGTTTGCGGGGACCTCCGCGAACCGGTTGAAACCCACCCCTGCCTGATACCCTGTGAGGAGAGTTGGACTGAGAGAGTGTGACTGCCCAATGTCACCCAGTTGGCTTTCATGCATAAAATGGGATTAGAACTCACAATCTCCTGGCCCCTAGGCCTGCACCTTAACATTACATCATTAAAAAATATCCTATCCCAAAATACTGGGTTTGGTGGATTCAAGTTTCCATAGACATACACTGAGATCTTTTCCAAGTTGTTTAGAACGGGGTCCTGCACTGATCTGTGACATGCCAGAAACTGGGCTGTGCAAAGAAGTGAAACCCCATTTGTGGGATGCAGGTAACGCATGAAATCATGACCCCTGTGGTCAGTGGAAAAATCTCTCTCCACGGAACTGGTCCCTGATGCCCAAAAGATTGGCAGCCACTGGTTTAGAAAACTAGTGAATCTATGACTTAGCTCATTTTGAGTGATGAGTATTCAACTCCAAGATTTGGGATCAATTTTTTTAAAAGACAAAACTGATTTAGGTCTCTTAAGGATCATCCTTTGATGCTTTACCAAATATAATTTCCAGCACAGATGCACTGTGTACTGCCTTATGCCCATATAAATGTAAAGTGAACAGATTGAAAAAGATGTGGAGCTGCTTGGAATAGAATGAAAAATAGTTATCTTATAAAGTTATATTAGTTGTATTATAGTTATATATAATAGGTTATATATAATACAATTATATTATAAAGCATGAATAAGGGTGCTTGGTGGAAGAGTAAAATGAAACATGCAATAGATGAGAAAAATGCATATAAAGAGTTTGTTGCAAATAACAATACTGTATAAAAGAGTTGCAAAAAATGTAGACAAACATCAGGGAAGAGTTAAGACTGAAAGGCAGGTCAAGTGTAGAATTTTACACTTTCATTTAGATGAAAATTAAAAAAAAGTATTTTAGAAGTAGGGTAAACAAGTAGTTTGTAATACATTTAAATATAATATATAAAATTATGAATTGATTGATAATGAAGCTGATGTGATGAGTGTTGGAATAATTATTTTAAGCATTCAACTGGCATTTACTTGTATCTTAAAGAGTAAAACCAAAATAAATGCTATAAATATTAGTTCAGAATGAAAAAAAACATCCTTAATAGGGTATTGCATTTTGCTCTTTAGCAGGCCAATGAGAAATTTATGCATGAATCACAGTAAGTATATTGTACATTTGTAAATTAGAAAAATTAGAAATCGTATATGATAAAGTAAAGAAATCAGAATTACTGAATACTATATACAAGTATGTACTTAAAGATTGTTTGCTGAGAGATACTCTGTGTCAGGGGTGTCAAACTCGTGGCATCACATTGTCGTCATGTGACGTATCACAACTTTTCCCACCCTTCGCTAAACCAGAGGTGGGCGTGGCCACCATGTGATGCATCCAGCAAGTTTGACACCCCCGCTGTATAGGATAGAACTAAAGCATGAATAAGAATAATTAGAACATTTAAGGTAATGGTTTAGCATTGAGTTGGGAGTAAGAAAAGCTTCTGTGATTTCTCCATTGTTCAATGTTTTGCTATATAAACAGAAGAAATCATGTGGTGACAATAAAGAGATATTTGTTGGTCAGCTTTTTAGATTCTTGATGGAACAGGTGTGTATGTATGTATATGTATGTATGAGTATGTGTGTGTATATGTATTTATGTATGTGGGTATGTATCTGTGTTTGTGTCAGTGGTGGGATTCAAAATTTTTTACTACTGGTTCTGTGGGCAAGGCTTGGTGGGTGTGGCTTGGTGGGCGTGGCAGGGGAAGGTTACTGCAAAATCCCCATTCCCTCCCAATCAGCTGGGACTCCAGAGGCAGAGAAGAGATGGGGGTGTGGGCAGTCAGAGGCGGTATTTACCGGTTCTCCGAACTACTCAAAATTTTTGCTATAACTGAATTAGAACTGATCATGAACTTATGAATATCACCTATAGTTTGTGTA